TTTTATTAGTTATTATTCCTGTCCATTGTCTCTATTTTTATAATATTTTACCCTGTAAATATTATTAAAAACATTATTTTCATTACACTTGAGATGCTCGAAATTTGCCACTCGAATTCTTGTGACGTCACGAGAGGCCGTGCGTGATTGGCTAAAAAGTTACGAGACAAACGTATTATTCTACAAATCGTGAACTACAACTACACCTTTTCCAGTTGTATATTAGAAAGCATTAAATGTATTTCAGAATAGTCAGATTTATATCAGAAAACGTCAAACGAATTTCAGATTAGTTAAATGTAATTCAGAATAGCCAAATGTATTTCAGACAACGTCAAATGTATTTCAGAATAGTCAGATTTATTTCAGAAAGCGTCAAATGTTTTTTAGATTAGTCATATGTAGTTCGGAATATATCAAATGTCATTTATAAAATGTTAAAAACTATTCAGAATAGTCAGATTTCTCTTCCTCCCCCTTACCCTTTGGATATGATTTTCTGCATTCCAATATGTAGTCTGAAATACATTTAACATTTTCACAACTACATTTGACTATTCTGAAATACATATGACGCTTTCTGAAATAAATCTGGCAAATCTGAAATACATTTGACGCTTTCTGAAAAAAATATGACTGTTCTGAAATGTATTTGATGCTATCTGAAATTCGTTTGACTAGTCTGAAGTACATTTGATTATTCTGAAATACATTTAACACTTTCTAAAATTAATCTGACTAGTCTGAAATGCATTTGATTGATTCTGAAATTAATTTGATAGCTTCCGAAATACAACTGGAAATGGTGTAGTTAAAAATGTAGTTCAACTAAAGGACATTCGCGCTCTAGGAACTCTAGAATTCATCAAAATACATCAAATAAACTAATCAGAACTATTCCATTGTAAATTTAGGTCTGAAGTTAGCACCGCATGTTTTATTTAAAAAAAATACACCAGAACTATTATTTTTTGTACAAAAGAACTCCTAAACTATCCAAAAGGAATCCAGAACTCTAATCAGAACTACTGAGAACTACAGTTGCGGTGTCAACTTCACACACCCAGAAAAATGGCCGACCCTGGGGATTCCCGAACACTTTTAGGAGGGAAGTGACGTCACACTTGGTCTTTTTAGTAGGGGAAAAGTACCGAATCCCGTGTAAACAAACACGCCCGATCCGAAAATCGACGTTTCGACTTTAGGAAATATCATCTTCAGCGTCAAATGAGCAAAAATAAACTTTATTTTTCTTTTTGAGATTGTTAAATAATGATTAATGATTTGTACTCACTTTTCCTCGTCGACGACGTAGTTCAATCTGGGAAGTATCTGGTCGGGCGAGAGCGGTTTGAATCTGAATTTGGTGCAACGCGATTGCAAGGCCGGTACCAATTTGCTCAAATAGTTGCAGATTATGCAAAATCGCACGTTTTCCGTGTATTTTTCGATGACTGGAAGAACAACACAAAAATATTACAACTTACACGGCGACGGAAACAAGTATTTCTTTAAGGGCCGGTTTATCAATTGAGGGATAACTCGTCGAGTTAGCCAACCCTGGGTAACCTTTAACTCTGGGCTAAATTGCGAGTTAAGAATAAAAGTGTTTATCCAAGCTTTTTTAACCTCGGGCTAGCAAACCCACGAAATGCTGATAAGTTGGCAATACATTATAGCCGTTGAAACTTTGGCAACGTTGTTTTGTGCTCGTTTTTGACATTTCTTGACTATAATAACCCAACTTTTTTGGTTTTGAATATTTGAAACGAAAATTAGAAGTCAGAAGAATAAATATGGCGGATATAAATATGGTGGATGTCCTTAGGGCCAGTTTATCAATTGAGGGTTACCCCTCGAGTTAAAGATAACCCTAAGTTAAACTGCCAAAAGTGTTTTTCCATCGCGGGTCAACTGTTAACTCGAGGGATACCTCTGGGTTATCTTAACTCGCGCAAATTTGGCAGATTTGTGGATTTGACTCTGGGTTAACCTAAAATTTGCGTGTTTTTCTGTTGTCAAACGCATTTTTTCATTGTTTTTAAGTAAATCCAATGGAAGACCTACATTTTAGCGATGACGACCAAGACGTTCTAGAATTTATAGGTCATCAGCGGAGGTCCTATATTGTAAGGTCACGGCAAAATCCATTTGAAGATTTTTTCGCTCGCTTTCGATTAAAAAAAGAAACCGTTTTGTTTGTGTTAAAGCCCATAGAAGACATGGTAAAATTTCCTACAAACAAGTTTTTTTTTTCGAATTCGGAAAAATTCGATTCTCTCCTTCTATCCGCCATATTTATTCTTCTGACTTCTAATTTTTATTTCAAATATTCAAAACCAAATAAGTTAGGTTATTATAATCAAGAAATGTCAAAAACGAGCACAAAACAACGTTGCCAAAGTTTCAACGGCTATAATGTATTGCCAACCTTTCAGCATTTCGTGGGTTTGCTAGCCCGAGGTTAAAAAAGCTTGGATAAACACTTTTATTCTTAACTCGCAATTTAGCCCAGAGTTAGAGGTAACCCAGGGTTGGCTAACTCGGCGAGTTATCCCTCAATTGATAAACCGGACCTAAACCTTTTAATTTTTCGTGTTACAGGGTGTTACAGTTTTAGAAAAAAAAACCACTGCGACTAATTTGTAATATCGTGATTTATTTTACATTTTTTTTAAAGTAGGTAAGATGTATAGTTGTAGTGAGACACTTACAAAGAACTTTAAAGATAAAATCAAGTTTTCTAATAGAAAATGAATTTTACTGTTTGAATAAGTACTTTAATGTCAAACTTTGATGCAACTTTTTAACTTCTAGTTAGGCTGTGTAATTATGTGTAATCATTTTAATTATTTCAATTAGTTATTTATACAGTGCATTTCTTTAATGTCACCACACCCCCTTTTATTATTTGAACGGATCAACTAAGAAAATTGAAACTTGGGATAATGAAACTAATGCATGATTACTATATTTTGGAGTAAAATTGACAGATGAAAATTTCAAGATGGCGACTGGGCGCCATCTTGAGAAATAAATTTAAATGGAAAGGGGGGTCTTGTGATACATCATTTTAAAGCTCCTGACAAATACTGTACAACCCTGGAATATAAAGTCAATATCTGC